TAGACGTGGCCGAGGTTGTGGCCAAATAAGAGGAGGAATAAACTCTTACAACAATTACCGTGGACAAGCCAAATCAAATGATGAGGCGAAAGAGGAGGAGAAATATTTTTCGAACAATTTTCAAAGAGGAAGAGGCCGAGGCCGAGGATCATATAAATGTACAAGGCCTCACGTTGGGTGTCATTATTGTCAGAAACCGGGACACAAAATCAATGATTGTTGGGGAAAATATCCAGAAAAAAGGCAAGAAGTTCGTTATTTGCATGAAAATAAAGTCAAAAATATGGAGACTTTATTGATTGCATCTAACGGTAGCTTTGAAAATACTTGGTATTTGGATAGTGGTGCGAGCAAGAACATGACGGGGAATAAAAAAATTATTCTCAAATCTTGTCGAAGCTAGCCATGGGACAGTTACGCTTGGAAATGGATACACCTACGCATTAGAAGGTGTTGGAGAAATTGTATTCAAAACAAAATCCGGAGAAGTCGAAACAATGTCCGAGGTTTACTATGTACCTAACTTGGCAAGTAATTTGCTAAGTGTTGGTCACTTGATGAGGAAATGTATCAACATGTTTTTCGACAACTTCACTTGCATTTTGAAAAAGAAGGATCAACACATTGCAAATATCGGTATGACCGGAAATAATATTTTTCCGATCAAACTTGATAATTTTGAAGCCTCTTGCCATTTAACTGTGAAAGACGATGTTTCAAAGTTGTGGCATGACCGGTTTGGGCATCTTAATTTCCAAAGTTTGAAGGAGTTATCAAACAAGGAAATTGTTCAAGGATTGCCAAACATTAAAGCCATGGACGAAATTTGTGAAGAATGCCAATTGGGGAAGCAACACCGAGAGCCATTTCCTTCCAAGTCAAATTGGAAATCAAAGTCACCATTGGAGCTCATTCATAGTGACCTTTGTGGACCATTTCAAGTTTCCTCTCTCGGTGGTAATCGCTATTTCTTGTTATTTATTGATGATTTTCAAAGAAAAGTTTGGGCTTATTTTGTGAAAGAAAAATCCGAAACTCTTTCATGCTTCAAAGATTTTAAAATCCAAGTTGAGAAATTTTTCGGTTTCAAAATAAAAAATTTGAGGAGTGATCGTGGTGGAAAATATTTATCTTCTTTATTTGAAGAATTTTGTCGAATCCATGGGATTAAACATGAATTGACGGCCCGGTATACACCGCAACAAAATGGTGTGGCGGAGCGAAAAAATCGAACAATCATGGATATTGTTCCGTGTATGTTGAAAAAGAAAAATATTCCATCGGAGTTTTGGGCTGAAGCGGTCGCTTGTGCCGTTTATTTGATCAACCGATCACCGACGAAGAGCTTGGAGAATTCTACTCCAAATGAGGTGTGGTATGGTAAGAAGCCAAATGTTAGTCATCTTAAAATATTTGGTTGTCTTGCATATTCACATATTCCAAATGCTATAAGGACCAAGCTCGACAACAAAGCCGAAAAATGCATTTTCATTGGGTATAGTGAGAGGTCAAAAGCTTACAAGCTTTACAATCCTCAAACGAAAAAAATTGTGATAAGTCGGGATGTTCGTTTTGATGAAAAATCCTCTTGTGATTTTTCAAAAAAATCAGAATCATTAACTTGGCCGACCCTTGGTGACGAAGAAGGCGATTATCAAGCAATGCAACCAAATGATGGTGAAAATGAGTCTCCACAAAATTCACCATCACCCCCACCAAGAAAAACGAGGAGTTTGAAAGAACTCTATGATGAAACGGATGAGGTGAATGCAACAAATCCTATTTTCTTTGCATTCTTTGCCGGAGAGGATCCAATCTCATTTGAAGAAAGCCTCAAAAGAAGAAAAGTGGATTCAAGCGATGAAATAAGAGATCAAGGCAATTGAAAAAAATGAAACTTGGGAGCTCACATCTTTACCCTCACACAAATCTCCTATTGGTGTGAAATGGGTGTTCAAAACAAAAACCAATCTTGATGGTTCCATCAACAAATACAAGGCGAGGCTTGTTGCAAAAGGATACAAGCAAAAAGAAGGAGAAGACTTCAATGAGGTATTTGCACTCATTTCAAGACTTGATACAATTCACTTTATTATCTCTCTTGCGGTTCAAAATGGTTGGAAGTTGTATCAAATGGATGTCAAATTAGCATTCTTGAACGGATTTCTTCAAAAAGAAAGTTATCTTGAGCAACCTCCCGAGTTTATTAAAAAAGGCGAGGAAGAAAAGGTGTACAAACTCATGAAAGCTCTCTATGGCTTGAAGCAATCACCCCTTGCCTGGTATGATCGAATTAATGATTATTTCATTAAATTTGGTTTTGATCGTTGTCCTTTTGAGGAGAACCTTGGTATGTGAAGACGCTACAATTATTTGCGGAAGATTGATTGATGAGTCGAGGGTCTGAACGCCACAGAAAAACTTTGATAAGGTCATTTAAAAAATAATGGTTCTTGAAAAACCAAAGAGGCACACTCTTATTCAAATGATTTCAATACATTAATGTAAGTTTAATTCGTACAAGGTGATCCCTTTATATAGGGTTCAATGCTCTCTAATTTGTGGAAATAAACTCAGATCATGGACTCATTATTCAACTAATCAAATCAACCACAAATCAGACAATCTAATTAATATTTATTTAATCTAAATTAAGAAAGCTTTTAATTCATGGTTTTGTTCTAAGGATGAAATGCACTAATAAAGAGCTCTCTGAACTCCTAAAAACGTGTGTATCTAATTGTGGAAATTTTGAACCTTCCAAGGCTTAAAATATGTGATTGCATCAATGAGAACATTTCAAGATTGATATATTTGTGGTTAAAGCCTGTCAAATCTGATCTGAACCAATTTAAAATCGAAATCGACTTGTGTTGGATTTGGACTCAAGTTGGGGCCAAAATCTAGGAAATCTTCGATTGCTTGATGTGACTCTTATCAGACCCGACCGCCCGATTTTGCTGCAAATCTGAAAACCATTATCGGCCCGACCATTATGGGTCGGATAATGGTTGGCAACCGACTTTGTCGGGTAAACAATGGTGGTTGGTCGGTATTATCCATGGTTGGTTGATCTTGAGTGTTCATCTAAAAGGTTCTCTCAATCCTAATATCTCTCTCATTTCTTTTGCCGCTCCTCTTCTCTCTCTTTCTGCAGTACCTCCGTCATCCCTTGTCTTTTTTCCAGCGCCAGCTTTAAAGTCATCGCCAACAACGGGTGACTTCGACTTTGTAGCACATTTAATATTACAAACTTTTTCCTTTGTGGCTATTTATAATGTTGCTAGAGAGATGAGGGTAACATACTCCTCCACATTCAAAGCATCTTTTATCCTCGATCTTCATTTTATGTGAGTAGATTGAATATTTCTAAGTGAAATATTGGGTTGGGCGAGTGATTGAGAGTGTTCCTTGTACACTGGTTGAGAACCAGTGTTCCTTTTAAAGTTGTTGGTGCTGCTTCCATTTAAATATTCTGAATAAAGGACTGGAAAGATAAAGTACAACTTCATGTGTTGAAGTTACCTCGGTTTGTATCTTCTTTCTTTTATGTACTCTATCTTTCCTTTTTATTTATGTTGGTAAAATGTTTATTGCAAAGTGAGTACCCAACACCACAACCCCCCTCTCTCTTTCTACGATTAGATGCAAGAATGTGTTTGTCTTTTTACGCAATCCGGAATCTCTAGCCTACCGGACCCCACCTGAAAGTTCGATTCCTAAACTCTTTTCTTTTGCCCAACATCTGAAATTTTTTACATGAAAATTTATTTTATTTATATAAAAAATAAGAGAATTGTTATTATATACTTATAAAAAAAATTGTTATTATATATAAAAAAACACGTATTTATCAAAAAACAATTGTTATTCTATACAAAAAAAAAATGTAGGAAATTGTTGAGTTTCGTGTTGTTGAACACGAGTGTATTGAGTTCATGTTAAAAAAATAAAAAATAAAGAAAAATTATCTTATTTAAAGAAAAAATAAAGAAGATTGATAAGTTTGTATAGTTCAACACGAACTCAATACACTGAATTCGTGTTGAACTAGGGGTGTAAACGAGCCGAACTCGCCTGTTTTGGCAGGTTTGAGCTCGAGTTCATTTTGTCGAGACCGAGTTCGAGCTCGTCGAGTTTATTTCCCGAGCCTAAGCTTATTTTTTTAATAACTAAATTTTATTATTAAAAAATATTTAGATTATAATACAACAAATTCAAAATAAACAATAAATTGTAATTGCATATATTTTTAATATTTATATGTTCTTTTTATATTATTTCAATAATATTTTATATTATTATACACTATTTAAATAAAAAATAATATATAAAAACAAAAAAAAAATAAAAAAAATAATAATAATAAGGTTCGCGAGCCGGTTTGTGAGCTCACGAACAACCAGAAACAAGCTCGAGCTCGAATTTGACATAAAGTTCGAACTCGCAAGCTCGAGTAGCCGGCTCGTCGAGCTCACGAGCGGCTCAGCTCGTTGAACAACACGAACGCAACATAAGTTTGTACAGTTCATGTTGTTAAACACAAACTCAGTGTTTTATCTCGAGGATAGATGGTATAAAAATGGCATAGTTTAGGATAGAACACAATTTGTAACGCTAAAATAAAATACCTTTATTTCTCACTACAATACCACGAATATAAAAAATAATAAATAAATAAATAAATAATAGGTAGTGACATTATTACCATTAATGAAAATCAATACCAAACACAAAATTTGTCTGGTAATAATTTTATTAGGGGTATTAATGTCATTACCTATTTATTTTCTATTTTTTATGTTGTTAGTATGAAAGCGAGAACTAAACGGTATTTGTTTTAGCCGTCCCCATAGTACAAAGACGAAAATGTAAAGAGTCTTGTATATTTGTTGAAGACTTTGTGAGTTAGGTTTTTGGACTTTGTGAGTTAGGTTAATTGACTGTGTGTAGAGAGGTTTATTGAATCAAGTATTATGCTGTATTAAATCAGAAACTCCAACTAAAACAAAACCATGATTCATAGAAAGTAACAAAATTGTTAGGAACCAACTTCAATATAACTAAAAGTTGACAAATGAAAAATATTAAGTTGCATGCCAAGCAAAGGCAAATACAAGTAAATTTACACTCTAAAAAGACTAGTTTGACTTTCCACCAAGAGACGGAAACTGGTCAACATCTTCAATAGCTGGGGCCCGCTCGCTTCGTCCGAATCCTCCTCCTCCTCCTCCTCCGAATCCTTCTCTCCCGCGTCCGCGTCCTCTTCCACGCCCACCCCCTCTGCTGTACTTCTCTCCTTCAACCGGCTTCAAAAACTCGTTTATGCTCACTGACTATACACATCACACAATTCAATAAAAAAAAATTATTACCATCAAGCCATTATGCAACCGAAACCGACTTCATATATCGCCAGCTACAAAAATTATCATGATATTAAATTCACGAATCATGAGGTTTACATTTTTTTTTAAATCCGAAATTATCATAATAAACATGTTCGCAAACTATTTAGATTCTCATTCGAGCTTGCCCGTTGCATTTTAGCGCCCTAACGATTTTCGATTCCAAATTTCAATTTAACAGCAATACATATACATACATACCTTTTTGGCTTTCTCGGCAGCTTCCTTGCGTTTATCCTTGTCTGAACCCTGCGAAACCATGAATTAAATTTTCAATACAATCCCAGAAATAGTTTCAAATTAAAAAAAAAATTAAATAAATAAATAATTTCACGAAATAAAGATGACACTGACCAATTTAATGAAGACATCATCATGATCAATCTTCTTGTTCGACAGAAGTTGCATAGATTCAAGTTCTTTATCAACATTGACCTTTCTAGCCTCGGACTTCATTGAAAGCAGTGTTTTTCTCTTCTCCTCGAGTACCTTTTCGTACTCCTCCAAAGTCATCTCCTACAATTAATACACATACATTCGGTGTGAACGTGTGAAGTCGAAATTTCTTTAAGAATCCAAAATAAGCAAATTAAAATACCTTTTCTTCTTCTGCCTCTTTTTCTTCTTTTTCTTTAGGAGAAGAGTCTTTGTTTGCATCATCAGTTTCGTCTTCTCCTGATTTCTTTTCAGAGTCGATGACTTTTTTCACTTCGGTGGTGGGTTCCTCAATTTCCCTAGTGATTTAGAAATCGTGTTACGGGAATATATGCAACTTTAAAGATTCAATGTTATGGAAGAAAAAAAAAAGATTCAATTTTTAATTTCTTACGGGACTATTTCCTCATTGGGTGTTCCCCAATTTCCTCGCCCAAAACCCTCACGCTTAATCTCATTCCTGCAGTTCTACAACTAATGAATAAATACGATAAAAAAAAAATGCGGAAATAAAACGTAGATTAAGCTATCGTGTAAGCCAAAATAAATGATATGGGAATTGCATACCCATGGCCGGTTCCACTGCGACGCTCAAACGGCCTACGAGGACGGTCAACCTCCTCAGATTCTCCATTACGATCACCGCCACGGAAGGCGGCACCACCACCGCGGGGTCCGCCATATTGACGTCTTTCAGAAGGAGCCTTTCCAGCATCTACATCTTCTGTACGCCTGTTGTACCCACCAGAATACCCATTACCATTTTCAAATTTGTTCACATTCTCAACTGAATCCCTGCCGAATCCACGGCCACCCCGCCCGCGGGCCCCACCACGACCTCCACGCTGACCTTCATTCCTCGACTCCCTCACTGCTCCAATCCAAGTAAAACAATAGTGCCAAAGAAAGTTTCTAATCAATGGACAAAAAAAATTCAAGAAACAGACAAAGCAAAGTCTCTACAGTTGGTCAAGTCCCCAAAACTTGTTTCTTTACCAATCATTAGCTAAACGAACTCTAGTTAGTAAAATTCAAGATTATCCCACTTGACAAAATACGAATTTAGAACACGCAAAAAAAAAAAGAAAAAAGAAAAAGAAAAGTAAAAGGAGTCAATTTTATACAGAAAATAAATTAAAATATCAAAAGTTATGATGGTTAAAGCAAGCTCTACTACATTGATTACTACTATGGAGTGTAGTATTTGAATTTCACTCACCAGCTTGAGCTGGAGGGAGTGGCTTAGCGGGAAGCTTAGCCGATGGCTTAGCCGCCGGCTGAGACTGAGCTGAAGCTTTGGCTGGAGCGGCGGCTTTCTGAAGAGCGGCGAGTAGAAGAGCTGGGTCCTCAGCGTCGTCATCAACCAGAAGCTCAAATGGATTTAATGTTGACATTTTGAGATAATAACAGATATTTCTGTAATCTGGAAAAAAAGATTCAACCTTTAGCAAAAACTGTTGAGAAAATCTAGTTACTGTAATCCATGAAAAATTCAAGAAACCGACAGAAACGGAGAGAGAGAGAGAAGTGATGGGAAAAACCTCGAAGACTGCGGCTGGACGCAGAATGAGAAGTTAGTAAAAACCTAATCTTGAAAAATCAGTAGCAGTATTCGTTCGGCAATTTGTGATGCGGCCCAGACAATTGAGCCCTGCATATTGTTTTCAATTTGGGCTTTTTTCAGAGAGCAACTAATATTTTTGGTCTAACCACAAGGTCCATTTGTCTATCATAATTCATAAATGAATATCATATATAGTCAAATATCACTAAATTTGAATTTTCTGACGAGTATAGTACGAGCTCGAACTCGAGCCCAAAAATACCCAATGAGCTCGACCTTGTTAGAATGAAGGGGAGTTCCCCAAAACATTCAGACTTGACTCAAGCTCAACAAGTTTATACCTATAGAGTTGTATTTGTATAAGAGATTGAAAATGAAGTTTGTTTATTCCATTCATTTACACGTAATTATATAGGCATAAGAAACAAACCCTAAACAAACCCTCATTATTTCTAGGAGATATAAGATAAAACAAATCAAGAATAACAACCTAATAATCTACAACTTAACAAAGAGAACGAATCTCGGACGGTTGAAGATAAACTCTAATACACCCCCGCAGGTTAAGGGTTATGTGAAACAACACTTAAGTTGGATAAGTGCGTATAGAAGGCAGACATGGGAAGAGCTTTTGTGAGAGTGTCGGCCAATTGATCAGCATGTATACGAGTGACAATGATTTCTTCCTTTAAAATGAAAATCAACTTCCATATGTTTCATCTTGCTATAAAGAACTGGGTTTTGGGAGTGATAAGTTGCTCCTATGTTATCACAAAAAACCTTGGGTGGTCTATATAGAGAAACCTGAAGTTCGCGCAGCAAGTTCATTACCCAATTTGTTTCAGCAACGGCACTTGAGACAGTCCTATACTCAGCTTCGGTAGATGACCTAGCAACTGTCACTACTAGAAAAACGCGATTTAACGACAACAATTCGTAACGGATAATTGTTATGTTTCTAAAAGCAACATTTAGCAATAGAATTAGCAACAGAAGATAAAAACGTCGCTTTTCATTTGATATGTCATACTCAACCACAGCCCATTAGCGATGGACATCAAAGTCGTAGCTAAAGTAAGTATTGAGCGACAGACGTTTGTCTCTATATCTGTTTCTAAAAAGGGGTTCTTTGAGAAAACCCCCTCACTACTTTTTTTAATTGAGGGAGGCCCAAAATATTTTAGTCCATTTGAGAAAAGTCCACACCCATTTTCAGCCATTATGTTTTCCAGCTTTACCCCCGCCCGCCACCTCATCACTGGGTCAGCGCTCCGCGATTTTTTTTTTTTTTTTTCCGTTTTTTTAATCGACTATGAAGCATAGTCGATTAGTCTTAAAACGACTATGCTTCATAGTCGATTAAGGAAAATCTTTAATTTTTTAATATTTTTTTGGTTTTTAATTTTTTTTCTATATCAGGTATATTAATCGACTATGATGAAGCATAGTCGATTAAGAATCTGCTACTAAACATAAAAAATTACAACTGCGAAAAAATGCAAAATCAACTATATTTTACAAAAAACAAAAAAAATATACAAACGTTATAAATGATTTATACAATTGAAATCAATAAACAAGAAATCCAAAAAAAATAAAAAACTGGAGTCGATCAACCTTAATCGAATACCAGAACATAGTCGATTAGCTTAATCGACTATGAACATGTACATAGTCGATTAAGGTTTCAGCCTGCGCGAAATTCTCTACACGCGCCGTCCTCCGTCCTATCCACAAAAAAACCCAAAAACAGCCTCCCATCGTCACCACACCACCCAGAGCTCCTGCCATGGCCGAACCCCTCAGGTTTTGAGCATGTTCAGCTCCACCAATGAAGCAACATCAGTCTTGAGTAACGACAACATCCTGAATCATTATATTGTTGACGCAAGATAGAAGTGAAGCCTTGTCCATCCGAGAAACGTTGGGTACCACATATCTGAGTGCGTAGAATCGGTGGTTCAGCTTCTCCCTCCTCTGCCTCTCCGCCTCCACAAGGTTCATCGTCGGCGGCGCGTCCGGGCCCCGAGGTCCTGCCGACTTTCTTCCTCTCTTCTTGTCCGAACAGTAGTCTGAGAGGCCTTGACGGAGTCGAGATCCTTGGGCAGGCGACGTTGGTAAATGGAGGCAGCTTTCATCAATCTGGCGGCGGTAGCAGTGGACGGCGGGGGAGAGGTAGTGGTGGTGGTGATGGGCAGAGATGGTGGACGGCGGGGAGAGATAATGGTGGTGGTAAGGGGCCGAGATGCTGAAAAAAAATATGAGAGAAATTAGGGTTTCAAAATAATACATTGACAAATAAGGGTAGATTTGGAATTATAAAAATAATATTTGGTGAAATACTAACTAAGAGGGTTTTCTCTAATTATTTTTGGGAGGAGGGGTTTTCTTAACTACATTTCCTAGATGAGGGGGTCTTGCTAATAATCCCTTCTAAAAATTCATATGCATTATAATGAATTTATTCGAACAAAAAATTATTCCTGTCTTTTTCTTTTTCACGTTTATTCTCCTTTTTATTCTTTAAAATGTATTTCTCAAATTTTGCCCAAAAGTGTCTCTCGCTCTCTACCCTCTTCTCTGCGTTCGTTCGTGAGAATACGAGAATCCACCACCATTTGTTCTTGTATCGTTATTTTCTTATAAATCTATAGTTTTCGTTCTCAAATAATCTCTTTACGTCCGTCTTCGATCTCTTTCACAGTTAACATTAAATTTCTAACTTAGGGGTTTTTTTCCTTCATTTTTACTTAGGTATGCTGAAGGACCAATTTCATTTGGACCAAAATTTATGACAACTCTTTCATCCCTGTTGTTTGTTTGTTGATTATTTTATGGTCTCTTATTTTTTTATCCGTTTGGAAAATTTAGGGCGGATTGTTTTCTTCGACAGTGCATGATGGATTTTGTATATAAGGGTTTGGTATTACTTTTCGACTAAAGTTACTAACTTTTCTTTATTTTTGTTTTTTACCCAAGACTGGGAGTGCATTGTTGATTTGGTACTGTGTAATATTTTTTTTTTTTGTACTTTTATCAGGTTTTAATGAAAGCTTTGGTTTATGAGGTATTGCTAATTTTACAATAAGATTGGTAAAGTTTCCTTAGCATTTTGTGCTTCTACATTTATACGAAAAATTTGTCTCCATATACTTGCATAGTATGTTATATGCTGACAACGTTGAGTCGACTCACTTTATTGCAGGGTGTGGTTAATTGTGTTGCTGAAAAAGAGAAAACAAAGATAGGTAAGTATTTCGTGCTTGAATACTACATTTTAGTATAATAAATGCAATATATATATATATATATATTTGACAGGACTTAAGCATTCACTAATGATGATGCTAATTACTTAGATCACCTGGGGTGGTGTAGAAAATGAACTGGGAGAGCAAAGCGGGTCAGTAGCTTGACAACTTGATGATCCTGAGGTACCTGCGATCATAGAACACATGAACTAAGCCGGGGGTTGATCCGGCGGAAACCCCTCCGACGCTCAAGTCAGACGTGCTGATCATAGAAATAGTCCAGAGAATACAGTTGATAGTATTGCTCAGTTAATAGGACGTACCTTATGGAATGAGTTCAAATGTGTATTTATAGCTTAGATGAGATTGTCGGGCCCAAACCTTGCTGGAAGGTGATTGGGCCTCGGAGATAGTGGTCTTCGATATTGGGCTCGTGGCCCAGTAGGTAAATAATTTGTAGGCCCATTGGATTGGGCCAATTAGGCATATCATTAAGCCCCCTACTCTCGAGTCGATGTGGGGGCCATGTTGAAATGGGTGACACATCGTGTCGAGAGTAAAAATTGTAGTAGTCGATGGTGTGCGATAATGCGTTGGAGCGTGTGTCGGAGGAGCGTGAATGCGCATTGGTGCATAGCGCGACCAAATTGTCGCGATGTAAGTTAATTGAGTCGTCGGTTTTGTCCCGCGATGATGTAGTAGCGAATTATCTCCTCGTGGGAGTTGTCTCGTCGCGGGGTAATAGTGTTGATCGAGTTATCTCCTCGTGGGAGTTGTCTCACGATATTGTAGTAGCACGGATTAAGTAATCTCCTCGTGGGAGTTGTCTCTGGGGTAATAGAGTTGATCGAGTTATGTCCTCGTGGAAGTTGTCTCACGATAATGTATTAGCACGGAGCTAGTATTCTCCTCGTGGGAGTTGTTATTTTTCGACATTGTCAATGTTTTTGACGCGTTGCTTATATGTGTTTACATATAGCCTTGTGCGTGATGTACTTGAGGAGGGGATCAGGCTCTCAAGAGTTTTTTTATGGGGATCGTGCCCCTTGTTAGACCTCGTGGGTCGTAAGTATGTTTGGACCGTGGCCACGTTTTAATGAAGGACCCATCGAAAACAAGTAGATAAATTTTGAGTAATCAAGCTGGCCAGGCTATATAGATTCTCATAATATCTCTAAGTGTTTCTAGGGTTGTAATCGTGCTAACTTAAGCTTGCGATTATGTAGTGCATAGCGAACGAGTTGTCTCTTTGAGAGAGTTGTCTTGCAGCGAAGTTGTAGGAGCATTGGATGACGCGCGATTGAGGAGCGTGCGGACTGAGGTTGCTCTGAGCGAGTTGTCTCCTCGTGGGAGTTGTCGCGCAACGAGTCTTTTTACCGAGCGAGGTGGCTCCTCGTGGGAGTTGCCTTGCAACGGATTTGTAGTATCGAGCGAGTTGGCTCCTCGTGGGAGTTGTCTCGCTGCGGGTTGTGGTACCGAGCGAGTTGGCTCCTCGTGAGAGTTGTCTCGCTGCGGGTTCGTAGTACCGAGCGAGTTGGCTACTCGTGGGTGTTGCCTCGTTGCGGGTCGTAGGATGGAGCGAGTGGTCTCCTCGTAGGAGTTATCTCGCTGTGGGTTCGTAGACCCGAGGGAGTTGACTCCTCGTGGGAGTTGCCTCGCAACGGGTTATATGACTGAACAAGTTATCTCCTCGTGGGAGTTGTCTTGCTGCCGGTTGTAGTACCGAGCGAGTTGGCTCCTCGTGGGAGTTGTCTCGCTACGGGTTGTAGTATCGGGCGAGTTGGCTCCTCGTGGGAGTTGTGTCGCTGCGAATTGTGGGACAGAGCGAGTGGTCTCCTCGTGGGAGTTATCTCGCTGTGGTTATGAGACCCGAGGGAGTTGGCTCCTCGTGGGTGTTGTCTCGTAAACCCCCACTCTCGAGACGACGTGGGAGCCAAGTCGAAAGGGGTACCGGATCGTATTGAGAGTAGATTGGTGCTGTAGTTTTGCGTTAATCGTTGGCATGGCGTGGAGAAATAATTATTTTTATTTGGAGAGCGCACACGATTTGGTATAGCGCGTTGAAATTCTCACGCGATTTGGTGAAGTGAGGTAAAATCGGCATGCAATTTGGTGGAGCGTGTTGAAATTCGCGCGCAATTTGGTGAATCACGTCAAAATATACGCGCGATTTGTTAGAGAGTAGTAGAATTTGCACGCGATTAGGTGAGTGGAGTAGAAGCGCGCCCAATTAAATGTGGTACGTGAAGACGCGCGCGCGATTTGATATGGTGTAGCGGAGCGCGCGCGGGGTCATGAAAGGAGCTGACGCAAAGTGTAAAATGATGGCAATGATGTGATGGGCGCAGCAACGACAGGGGCGTGCCTGCTAGCTGCCCTCTTTAATTATATATATATATATATATATATATATATATATATATATATATATATATATATATATATATATTTTTTTTTTTTTCTTTTTGTCTTCACTCGCGCGCGCGGATCGAGGTGTGCAGTTTGCACATGTGTGTTGCCCCCAAGCGCGCGTGCTACGCGCTGCATCCATTTTTTTTTTTTCTTTTTTTTTTTTTTTTTTGATGCTCCCAGCGCGCGCGCATACCGAGGGCGCGATTGGCGCGTGTCTTCCACGCGCGCTAACGTTCCGCGCGTTTCCATTTTTTTTTTTTTTTTTTTTTTCTTCTTCTTCTTTTACTCTTTTTTTTCTTCTTCTTGTTCTTGTATTTTTTCATCTTCTTTTTTCTTCTTCTTTTTTCTTCTCTTTTTTCATCATCTTCTTTTTTCTTCTTCTCTTTTTTCATCATCTTCTTTTTTTCTTCTATTTTTTCATCTTCTTTTTTCTTCTTCTTTCTTCTTCTCTTTTTTCATCATCTTCTTTTTTCTTCTATTTTTTCATCTTCTTTTTTCTTCTTCTTTCTTCTTTTCTTTTTTCTTCGTCTTCTTTCTTCTTCTCTTTTTTTTTTTTTTTTTTTTCTTCTTTCTTATTTGGTTGATATTCACCCCCTTGGGGATGTTTTATTTTTTGAATAGGGATATTACCCTAGTTCCTTGAGATGGGATGTGCACCCCCTTGGGATGTTCTATTTTTTGAGTAGGGAGATTATCCTCGTTCCTTGAAATCGGATGTGCGCCCCCTTGGGGATGTTCTGTTTTTTTTAGTAGGGAGATTATCCTCGTTCCTTGAGATGGGATGTGCACCCCCTTGGGGATGTTCTATTTTTTGAGTAGGGAGATTATCCTCGTTCCTTGAGATCGGATGTGCGCCCCCTTGGGGATGTTCTATTTTCTGAGTAGGGAGATTATCCTCGTTCCTTGAGATCGGACGTGCGCACCCTTGGGGATGTTCTATTTTTTGAGTAGGGAGATTTTCCTCGTTCCTTGAGATGTGATGTGAACCCCCTTAGGGTTGAAAGGTAAGGGTGATGCCCAACCTTAGGATGGGGATAACTGCCCACTGTAGGATGAGGCGCTCGAGACCTATGGTCTGAGGTTGATGCGCACGGTTGTGCCATTGGTTCGTGCGCGCGCGTCAGACCCTTTTTCTGTTTTTGAAGTAGGGACGTGAAACACTTGAAAGGATGTGAAACCCCTTGGGGTTGAAAGGTCAGTGGATGTACCACCCTTGAGAGGAGATGCCCAACTTTAGGATGGGATAGCCCCCCATTTAGGATGAGGCGATCACGAACCACTGGGGTGAGATGCCCCACCTTGGCGATATATGGTGCCACTGATTCAGTGGCAGCACGAGTTGAATCTTCCGTGATCATACGCTGAAAGTCTTCTTCGGTTATCTGAACCGTTCGAGAAGTAAGTAGAAATTGATCATGTTGAGGACCCAGTGGGGCCTCACGAGGAGGAGCGTTCGCTCCTGCTATGACGAATGAAATGTTTTGGGGGCGATGTGAGCCCCAGGGAGTCGATAACCCTTGGCGAACGAAATATTTTGGGAGCAGATGTAAGCCCCCAGGGAGTCGATAACCCTTGGCGAACGAAATATTTTGGGGGCGATGTAAGCCCCCAGGGAGTCGATAACCCTTG